CATGATCTTCCCAAGATGTTGCCGGGTTCAAGATCCACCCGTTTGTTGGACACGGATCTGTCGCGGCGTTGCGACGCGTTGCGACGCGTTGCGACCAGGTTGGTTCATCACCTTCACCAGCACTGCTGTGGTGGCCAGCCCGGCCACCAAATGCCGGCGATGTTCTGCTTGGGGATTGAGGTTAGGTTAGTTTCATGGGTATAGCCTCTGCTGAATAATCAACCTGGTAAACATCATTAACCATCAACCATTAACCAACCATTAACCATTACCCTTTGATAAATCAAATTGGGGCTGAATAATGGTAAATCAATGTTGGTGCTTAATGTTGGCTAATGATGGTGTTCGTAGCCTTTGGTAAAATGCTGGCATGGGGATATTTGCATGGAATCTTCATGGGGATTTTCCATGGAATATGGGACCATGGGATATCCGTTGGTACTCAAACGTGGCTCGGAAATCCCACTTCTTCAGCCAGCGTGGCTGATGACCAGCGAAAAAGGATGCGGATTTTCACCAACAAAACGACGAATTGGCTTCAAACAGATGGGGAACTGGACTCGTGATGGGTAGCCATAAATGGGTATACAATGGTATACATATATAATCATGTATCATATTAATATGATTATATATAGTTATATAGGAATATACTGGGAATTCATGGGTTTGAATGGGAATCCCTATTATATAATATTATATATACTAACCAAGAGGCAGGGTTTCAAAAAATGCCATGACCAAGGATGGTTTCTATGTTGTTGTCCCAACATGTGGAATTCCTTGTTATCCCAATGATATACCCTCTGGCAATCAAACATGGCTTGCTGGAAAATCTGCAATTTAGTTCCATGATTTTCCCATCAAAGGCACCCATCTATAAAGGGGATTCTGAAGCTAGCCATGTTTGATTCCCAAAGGGTATTAACCAATATTCAAGTCATCCATATTCCATGAAAATCCTATGAAAATTCCTATGCCCGCATGATACCTGCATTTTACCAAACTATGTCCCAACCAACTCCTTAAATCTTCAACGGCTTTTTGCGGCCTCAGGCGCCTTTCCGGATGTTGACTTGGAATCACCCGAGCCGCCGAAGTGTTTTGGTCTGTTGTTTCAAGGGCCGTAGACTGTAGACCTTCTGGGAATCAAACGTGGCTACCTAGAAATCCACTTACTAATTCAGGCAGTTATAACTTACTTAACTGTAACAAGTAGTGAGTAAAGACCCAGCCTATCTAAGTACTTTAATGATTTTCCCAGCGATGTGCGAACTAAACCTTCATTTAGTTCGGGACATTTCCCAGCCACGTCGGTTTTTCACGGAGGCTACCTGAACTGGGGAGACCTTGGCACCGGGTCGTGTACTTGGTGAAGAATTCCATTCCCCATGGTGGATGTAGGGGATGAAACCACATATTTGGGACTATTTTATATGAAGGGGGATGGGATTAGCAACGGAAAGATCAGCTATCCCCACATTGGTGACTCCATCACCAAGTAGTAAATGCCACCGACAAAGAGCTCGCAGAAAGCACTCTGAGTTGCTAAATGGTGATTCCATTGGATGTGCAGAAGTACGTAAGTGGTTCTTCAACCCATACGGAACTTGGGTAGATCTCATTTGTATCCATGTGTATCCATTGATATCCATGGATATCCATCAACCAACAGTCCTCACAGTAACTAAACCAACTAACAGTCCTACACCCGAGGCAAGCACCTGCAACACATGCACAAAAGAGCGCGCCGGCGCGCTTTCCCTACCTGCGTTTCGTGGTGCTTTGCCGCAGATGGACCGCGGGATGACTGGGGAAGCGGCAGGGGAAGTGGGCATATGTACTTGTATATGTATAGTACAATGTATAGAAGCGTACGGAGGTTTTATATACCCTATACCTAAACATATATAATTATGTATGTATATATGAAAATACACATATATATATGATAGTAAATATAAAACATTTAAATATATGCATACGTTTACATACATCAGACATAAAGACAGACAGACATAGATACATAGATACATAATGATACATAGATACATAGATATACATAGATACAATTAGATACAATTAGATACATAGATACATAGATACATAGATACGTAGATACACAGATACATAGATACATAGATACATAGATACATAGATACATAGATACATAGATATACATATACATATATATGAAACATATATATATATATATTTATATTCACAGATCTATACATTTGCATTATACATCTAGACATTTTTGTTTTTACATACTTTTTCCCCACCTGCCAGGTGAGGGTTGTTAGATTTTATGTCAGTTGCCTCCTCCTCCTGCTCCTCCTCCGCCTCCTCCTGCCTCGTCCTCCTCTCCTCCTCCTCCTTGTCATCCTTGTCGTCCTTGTCGTCCTCGTCGTCCTGGCTCAACTGCGACCCGCGATCCACAGTGTTCTCTGCCGGACCTCAACCACGACCACCCACGCCCAGTGTTCCCTGCCGGACCTCAACCACGACCATCCACGCCCAGTGTTCCCTGCCGGACCTCAACCACGACCATCCACGCCCAGTGTTCCCTGCCGGACCTCAACCACGACCATCCCCGTCCAGTGTTCCCTGCCGGACCTCAACCGCGAGTATCCACGCCAAGTGTTCCCTGCCGGACCTCAACCGCCAGTATCCACGCCAAGTGTTCCCTGCCGGACCTCATGTAGGAAGATATGGGACAAAGAATGTGCAGAAGAAAGTTAGAAAGAATGTCAGAAAGAATGTCAGAAGATATGCCAGAAGATATGCCAGATAGAATGCCAAATAGAATGCCAGATAGAATGCCAGAAGATATGTCAGAATATATGCCAGAAGATATGCCAGAGAGAATGCCAGATAGAATGCCAGAAGATTTGCCAGATAGAATGCCAGAAGATATGCCAGATAAGAATGGGCCAAGAAGATAGGTCAGAATATCTGCCATAAAGAATATGCCCAGATGAATCGCCAGATATAGGCCACAAGATATGCAGATAGAATGCCAGAAGATTTGCCAGATAGAATGCCAGAAGATATGCCAGAAGATATGCCAGATAGATATGCCAAATAGAATGCCAGATAGAATGCCAGAAGATATGTCAGAATATATGCCAGAAGATTTGCCAGATAGAATGCCAGAAGATTTGCCAGATAGAATGCCAGAAGATATGCCAGATAGAATGCCAGAAGGTATGTCAGATAGAATGCCAGAAGATATGCCAGATAGAATGCCAGAAGATATGTCAGATAGAATGCCAGAAGATATTTCAGATAGAATGCCAGAAGATATGCCAGAACATATGCCAGAAGATATGTCAGATAGAATGTCACAATAGAATGTCAAAGATATTTCCAATGAATGCCGAAAATTTGCCATAAAAATTTATAAATGTCATGGTGGGAATCACACGACAAGTAAAGTAAATACTTTTCACATTTACTACATATTACAACAATGTATACATATCATACGATTATATTGTAAGAATAAATATATCCGAACTAGATCTAACTATGCTCACCCATGAAGCGAACATCTGGAAGTCCAAGACCTCTTTCGGTAGCTGGGAAAATTATCCATGGCAAACTGTCGTTCAAGACATGCGAGATTTAAGTAGGAAAGAAGAATTCTGAGTGAAGCTTAGCAAGAAACATGAGGATGTATCAAGGCATCTGGGGCATCGCTTGTTTTCAAGATCACTTGGGAAATCCAAACTATAGGGTACAACTTTGCCGACAAACATGTGGATTTCAGTGTAGTTTATCCTAAACAGTAGGACTATGTCTATAAGCACTTGATTTCCAAGACTCGTTTTCTTGGGAACTTCTTGAGTTCTTGTCACAAAGTTTATTTACCCATGGGGACCACCAATCGGTAGAACTGGTAGAAAATCTTTGAAACCTATCTGGGTTGAAAAGCACAGCTAAATGGCTGACATACGTGAATGAGATACCCTTATGAGAACTATGGCTTAGGTTGGGGTAATCTTTTGTAGAATAAGGACAATCTACCACCAAAAATTAGGATAGTTTACCATGGTATACCACGACAACCTGTCTCATTTGAACCAGGCCTTTTTTTTCGACTTATAACGAGGGCAAACGTTTCAATGAACCACCAAGTCAACAGCGTCCCCACGAATGCTGAAACCAAACCTGGCTTGCAGGATGCTAATGATTGAATTCCATATTTTGTTGCTTCAATCGCAGCATTTTCATGCATTTCCCCATATCTTCAGGACATCTCCATGTCTTTGTATCCGTTTTTTTCCCACGTTTTCACCGTTTTTTCCCACGCCACAGATCGGCCACCCCGTGGGCTAAGGTGGGCATGGTGATTGCCGCCGTGGCGGCCAGCTTTGGCTTTCATCCCGGCTTGGACCAGACCATTTTTATGGCACGGCTGGGATCGGCTGGGGGCCGGGGCTACGGGGCTAGGCTTAGCTTTGGGGAGGTTGGAGATGGTGAAACATCAACAAAAACATGATTGGAGAACATCAAAATGTTGGAACATGATCGGGACATCATATACTGAAAAAAGGAATCGTTGGAAGATATAGGAAAATCATGGAACATATGGGAAAACATATCTTGTGGGATTTGGATTCTGGTGGAGTCTTCGGGATAAACGATGACTTTTACTCAAAAAACAAGTCTCCAAGCATCAAACATGAGGATTGAACTTTAGTGATATATCCAACAATGCTTGATTTCTGGATATGATATGACTCTCAAATGGACAACCCAGCTGTATATTAACAGTATATCAACCAACAATGATGGGGATTGAACCAATAAATGATACGGATATATCTGGAGAAATGGTGATTGAACCATCAAACATGGGCTTATCATCATCTGTTGGTAAGCCGGATTTACTGTAGCCTTGATGACCCACATATTTTGGCATCTAGTGTCTCCACATAGGTCCTCTTCCATCCACATATTGGGATTTCAATGGCTGCATAGACACTGCTCAGATGTGCGCGGCTCTTGCGGGTTTCACCTTGGCAAAGCGTTTGCCGAGCAATGTGCAGAAGTTCGTCCATCCGTCGCTCGACAGAGAAATGTGAAGGCCAAGTTCCGGAGTGAAGCGGAAGTGATTAGACCCTCACCAATTACATATGCATATATGTTGATATACAAGAAATAATACGTATACATGTTCATAGTTTTTTAGTGTCAAAATACGTGTGTATAATATACAATATATATATATTATATCAATATATGATAATCTTCTAAATGGTATATACCTGGATATTCATTGGTTACAAATTTCTTTCCAGGGCAGATTTTGGTTTGATTTCTGACTATTTTTTGGAGATTTACCCATTTCAAAATAAAAATGACAATTTCAAGAAAAAACATGCCACTTCATGTTTTCATTTTTGAGTCATGATGAATCTGCCCGGGTATTTCTGCCCTTTTCCCGGGTATTTCCGCCTTTTTCCCGGGAATTTCCGCCCAAAAAAATCGACACATTTTTACGCAAAGTAGAGTAAGATCAGCCCAAAAGGCACGAAATCCAAAATTAACCACAAGAATCAAAAAGTGACCATTTCCAGCTCCTTCACAAGAAATCCGCCCTAAGGGCAGAAATCTTGGAAACGGACACTTATTTGTATCCTTTCGAAGATCCAGGTATATATGTCAAAATCGGGAGCAAACGCACAGCGTTAGGCTCTTCATTTGTGCTGCTGGCACCTTCCTTGCGGCCGCGTTGTGGATCTTATTGGAACACCCAGGCGTGTCCGAGGGGATCTGGGCATGGCAACCTCGTAGTTTCCCTAGGAAAATGACCTACAAATGGTGGGTTAAACCCACATCTGAGTTTCCAGGAGGCCAATAGATGGAGATAGATGGACAGTGAAAGAACATCATCCTGGAACTCGAGACCTTGAAAAAAATTTTTGAAGACCAGTTTCAGTGAATCAATCATGTCATATCATGGAAATCCATGGAAATCCAGCAACACAACTTATTTCAGGATTGTTTTTCTTGTTCAAGTCCAAGATATGGCAGTTCTTGGGATCCCCATTGGGCCCATTGGGTCTGGTTACCACCATTTTTTCCGGTCCTTTTTAGAGACCCCATTGTGCCACCTATTTCTGGAAATGCAGTCATCAAAATTCTATATGTTTGAATGTACGTATGCTTATCTCTCTACATGATGTTTCTACAAACATCATGGAAACATGAATGCGTAGAACCTCAAATACGTTGCAGACAACTTAAGCCAGAATGCTTGTTTGATGACTGTAGGTTTTTCTTCAAAATGTAGAATGGCAAAAGTAATTATCCTTTCTCTTTAAAGGACATATGAGATATGTTTGAAACATGTATTACAAAAAGCAATGTTCCTTTTGAAAATGAACGTCATTTTTCTCTAAAAGATAAGCAAGCAATTCTTCTTTCAGACATGTATTGCCAAAATAAACATTCCTTTAGAACAACTATTGCAAAAACAGTGTTTCCTTTAAGGGGATGTGGAAGGAAAGGAGGAAAAAGAAAGAATGCTAATTCAAATAAATACATTTTTCCAAAAAAGCCAAACCATTTTCCTGAAGCCAAGGCCAAAACAAAAAAGGTTAAAAAAACACGATACTAAATTCAAGTTACATAACCCAAAAAAGCAAATACATAGCAAAATAAAAGAGAAACATACATGACCCCAACATACCGAATTCAACCAGCGAAAAAAACATACGCGCAGACACCTCGTTTCGCCCAACATCACTTTAGGTTCAAGGCTTTAGGGTTTGAGAAATAGGATTTTAGGGTTTAGGTGTTTTGCGCATACGGGTTTGCAGTTTAGGGCGTGGGGTTTAAGATTTTAGGGTTTTACGGCTTTAGTGTTTTAGTAATATAGGGTTCAGGATGACATGTGCAATGTCGCACGGGTCCCATACCTGAGCTTTTCAGGAATGCCAGAATGACCCATAATTTCCAGTAGTTAATCGTCGTGCCTCGGGCAAAACAAGAAGTGTTTGGCCGAAAACATACAAAAATCCTCAAACATCAAACACATAGCCCCCCCAACAAAAAAAACAACTCATTTCAAATACATAGCTCTGGAGAAGCGTCGACCAAACCAAGGAGCCTTCGCTTTAGAATCTTCGAAGCCTAAATGTTCATGTTTAATAGTTACAATGAACCATGTTCCATCGCTTCTCTATGTCAACGTACCCTAGGGTAGACCCAAATTATACTAACCTCGATGAAGCACGACACCCGAAGTCTGCTGGAGGTCTGCACACCATGGACGTGCCCCTCGGCACGCTGGATTTGCGGGAATCTGAGTTTGGCTGGGAACATGTTCACCAGAAACCATGTTTTTTTTCTGGTTTTGACCCCCCAAAGATTGGGCTTTCCTGTATTTAATGTATCAGTTTTTCTTGTTAAACCATTCCAATGCATCAAATCTATGGAGGCTTTGAAGAAAAATATGTTTTTTTTTTAGAATATCGGGAAATACGCTGAGTCATGGGGGAGTATACTACTGTAACCCACCAGATGGGAATAATTTCGTTCTTAAACTCCCCACAATGTGTATATCTTGTCAAAGAAATCTCAGGAACCTGTAAAAGATCTGAAGAATTGCAACTTTTTCCATTTGGTGATAATTTTTTGATGATTTTGGATTATGCTTTCATCGGTCTTGAGATATAGATCTTGCAGTTTTCCGGACCCAAAACGCACTCACCAGACGGATTCGGCTACAGAAAATTCATCCGAAAAAGGTGAATACGTTCCCTGTATGGTAGACTTAGAACACGACAAATTGATTCAACATGGAACCTGAACAATGGGGTCCCAGATCATGTGGATATTGCTGCTGGCGGTTTCCATGTTGGATTTCAGGGGTGTACCAAAACTTCAACATCTACCCTCCAGCAGACTAACATAGCTATGGAAGCCATGGCGCATGTAGTTCGGTGATTTACCTGGTATATATTGAGGTGTGAGTTTACATAGCTAACTGCTAAATTCCCACAGGCTACATAACCATAACGATAACGCGTGACAAAAAATCCATGTTTCGGTTCATGCACCCATTTAGCGAAGCTGGATGGAGCTGGTAATGTTCCTGAGGTCGAGAATGATGGAAGAATATGGATTAAAACCACCAAACATGGATTACAATGGGTTAGATACCCTCTGCTAATTTTGAACATTTTTGTCTAAGGAAAATCACCACTAAAAAACATTCAATGTGGGTAAAACAATAATAAACCATCCCCCAAATCACCTTTTGTATAGGTGGCTTTTGAACCATTCCCAAATGGGTTGTGTATGGCCTTGTTGAACCATGTTTTACCCACATTAGATTATTTAGATAATAGATGATTATCCTACAATGTGGTGCCCCCCAGTTGAAAGTTGGTTTATAAACCCCATTAACTAGTTCGTTATATCTGCCATAAACCATAGTTATTGGAGTTACCCTCTGGTAAACTAACATAACTATGGAAAATCACCATTTTCAATGGGAAAATCCACTATGAATGGCCATTTTCAATAGCTTTTTGTATGTTTTCCAGAGGGTATATCCCATTAATATCCCATTGAAGCACTATAAAATCCCATTGAATCACTATAAAATCCCATTAAATCACAATAAATCCCATTAATATCCCATTAAATCACAATGAACGGGGGCTATCGTTTGGGCTTTGTACAGCTCCATAGGATCATCAGTGGTGGAGCTCCAAGGATCCGAATCTACAGCGATTGGCCTGGCGGTGGTGCGTTGCTCTACTTTCTGCTGCCCATCGCCGTGGTGTTCCTTGGGGTGAAACGACTAGTGAAGCTGGAAAAACATCAGTACCCATATATGTATATATGATCTATATATAATACTATACATGTGGATATACATATATAATGATATATATAATATTATATGTGTATATATATATGTGGCAACAGGCACCCCTATGATCTACCTTTTACTTTTGTTTTGCAAACTTTTCTACATATTTCAAATATTCTAAATACCTTAAATATTTCCAATATTTCCGAAATTTCCACTATTTCAAATATTCCAAATATTTCAAATATTTCAAATTTCAATATTCCAAATATTTCAAATATTCAAATATATTTCAAATATTTCAAACTTTCAAATATTTGAAATATTTTAAGTATTTTGAATATGTCAAATATTTCAAATATTGCAAATTTTCTAAATATCTCCAATATTCCAAATATTTCAAATATTCCACGTATTTCAAATATTTCAAATACTCCAAACATTTCAAATATTCCGTATATTTCAAATATTTCAAATATTCCTCCACATATTTCAAGTATTTCAAATATTCCAAATTTTTCAAATATTTCAAATATTCTAAATATTTCAAATATTTCAAATAATTTTGAAAATTTAAAATATTTTGAATATGTCAAATATTTCAAATATTGCAAATATTCTAAATATCTCCAATATTCCAAATATTTCAAATATTCCACATATTTCAAATATTTCGTATATTTCAAATATTTCAAAAAATTCCAAACATTTCAAATATTTCGTTTATTTCAAATATTTTAAAATTTTCAAATTTTATATATTCCAAATATTTCAAATATTTCGAATATTTCAAATATTCCAAATATTTCATATTTCAGATATTTCAAATATTCCAAATATTTGAAATATTCCAAATATTTAAAATATTTTTAAATATCTCAAACATGTCAAATATTCCAAATATTTAAAAAATATTTCAAATATTTTAAATATCTCATATATTCCATTTTTGAAATATTTGAAATATTTCAAACATTTCAAATATTCCAAATATTTCAAATACTAAATATCTCCAATATTCCAAATATTTCAAATATTTCATATATTTTACATATTCCAAGTATTTCAAATATTACAGATATTCCAAATATTCCAAATATTTCACATATTTCATATATTTTAAATATTCCAAGCATTTCAAATATTACAAATATTCCAAAAAATTCAAATATTTCAAATATTCCAAATATACCAAATATTCTAAATACCTCCAATATTCCAAATATTTGAAATAGGCCAAATATTCCAAATATTCTAAATATCCCCAATATTCTAAATATTTGAAATATTCCAAATATCCCAAATATTTCAAATATTTCAGATATTTTCAATATTCCAAGCATTTCAAATATTACAAATATTCCAAAAATTTCAAATATTTCAACTTTTCAAATATCCCAAATATTTCAAATATTTCATATATTTTAAATATTCCAAGCATTTCAAATATTACAAATATTCCAAAAATTTCAAATATTTCAAATATTCCAAATACTTGAAATATTCCAAATATTTCAGATATTTCATATATTTTAAATATTCCAAGTATTTCAAATATTACAAATATTCCAAATATTTCAAATATTTCAAATATTTCAAATATTCCAAATATTTCAAATATTTCAAATATTTCAAATATTCCTCCACATATTTCAAATATTTCAAATATTTCAAATATACCAAATATTTCAAATATTTCAATTTTTTCAAATATTTCAAATATTCCAAACATTTCAAATATTTCGTATATTTCAAATATTTTTAAAATTTCAAATATTCCAACTATTTTGAAATGTTCCAAATATTTCAAATTTTCCAAATATTTTTGAAATATTCCAAATAGTTGAAATATTCCAAATATATCGAATATAAAAAAAATGAAATATTTGAAATATTTCAAATATTTGAAATATTTCGAACATTTCAAATATTTCAAATATTTCAATTATTTCAAATATTCTAAATATTTCGAATATTTCAAATATTTTCAATATTCTAACTATTTCAATTTTTTCAAATACTTCATATATTTTCAAAATTCCACATATTTCAAATATTTCAAATATTCCAAATATTTCAAATATTTCAAATATTTCAAATATTCCAAATATTCCACATATTTCTAATATTTCAAATATTCCAAATATTTCAAATATTTCAAATATTCCAAATATTTCAAATATTTCAATTTTTTCAAAGATTTCACATACTTGAAATATTACTATTCATTTGTTTTCTAATTATTATTTTTTCATTTTTATTTTAACTTCAATATTTGTTATTGTTTTTTCCTTCATTAAGGTCTTTACTAATTAATACTAATTATTTTTTTTATTTTTAATTTATTGCTATGTTTGTTTTTGTTTTTTTTTAAATTATTTATTTATTTAAATATATTTATTTTATATATATTTATATTTATATATATATATATATTTAAATATTTATTTATATATATATATTTATATACATATATATAGAGAAATATTTATTTATATATATATGTATTTATAGATATTTATATTTATTTATATATTTCTATTTATTTGTATATTTATATTTATTTTTTATATATATGTATATAACTATTTATTTATAAATATATATAATTATTTATTTATACATATATATATATTCATATTTAAATATATATATATATATTATATTTATATATATATATATTTATATATATATATTTCTTTTTACTTTTATTATTACTATTCTTATCAATTTAAACTGATTTATACTTTTTAATAATTAGTTGTTATTTATTTTGATTATTATTAATTATTTTTATGTTTTTTTTATATATTTATTTTTTATTTTTTATATTTATATATTATATATATATATTTATTACTATTCTTTGTACTCTTTTTCTAAATTTGCATTTTCTCAAAAATAATAAATAATTCATTATTACTTATTAATATTTTTTTTTATTTTTAAATTCATTATTTTTTTCTTCATTTTTTATTTATCCTAAATGTATTTGACTATGATTTTTTGTTTTTATCATTATTTTTATATTTTTGATTTTTATCTTCATTTTTATCTTCATTTTTTATCTTCATTCGTTGCCCGCTGAGCCAACCCATGACTTTGAAAGCTGCTTGCTTGCCCATGCAAATCAGCGCTGCTGCTCTTCGAACTTTGCTCTCCACAGAGACCAGCAAGAAGAAGAGAAAAGTCAGCTGAAGATATGTTCAGCTTTCCTTGTTTTTGCAACAAGCTGCGCAAGACATATGTGCAGACAGTCTTGCGCCACTCTTTTGCAATAACTTTTTTCCTTCTTTCAGCAACAAGCTGTGCAAGACATCGGTGCAGACAGTCTTGCGCCACTCTTGTGCAAGAAGTTTGCCTGTGTTTTGGAAACAAGCTGCGCAAGACATATGTGCAGACAGTCTTGCGCCACTCTTTTGCAATAACTTTTTTCCTTCTTTCAGCAACAAGCTGTGCAAGACATCGGTGCAGACAGTCTTGCGCCACTCTTGTGCAAGAAGTTTGCCTGTGTTTTGGAAACAAGCTTTGCAAGACATATGTGCAGACAGTCTTGCGCAGCTCTTTTGCAATAAGTTTTTTCCTTCTTTCAGCAACAAGCTGTGCAAGACATCGGTGCAGACAGTCTTGCGCCACTCTTGTGCAAGAAGTTTGCCTGTGTTTTGGAAACAAGCTTTGCAAGACAGATGTGCAGACAGTCTTGCGCAGCTCTTTTGCAATAAGTTTTTTCCTTCTTTCAGCAACAAGCTGTGCAAGACATCGGTGCAGACAGTCTTGCGCCACTCTTGTGCAAGAAGTTTGCCTGTGTTTTGGAAACAAGCTTTGCAAGACATATGTGCAGACAGTCTTGCGCAGCTCTTTTGCAATAAGTTTTCATGCGTTTGGAAAGAAAGCTTGCAGGACATATGTGCAGACAGTCCTGTCCAGCTGTTACGAGGATCTCAGATTGTGTACAGATGCCATGACAGACATGGACTTTTCGAGCAAAGACTCGCGCTGTGCCGGCGCGCAAAGTCATACAGACTCACGGCGCGGGTTTTGAAAAATGAAGAAGTCAGTGTTAGCAGCCTGTTGCCTCAGATAAGGAATGCTAGAGCGGCAGTGCAGTAGAGAATCGTGAGCCGTTTCTTGGTAAGATGTGTACACCTGGATCGATCTAACTAGGACTCGGTTCTTTTGGGGTTTTTCTTTGTAGCACTTTGCGCACAGGCGAGGCAATTTTGGTGCATTGGTCTTCGTTTCGTGGAGTCAAACTGGCATCACATGGCGCTATTGATTTTCAGCCCCTTGATGTTGGGATTCGGCGCTTTGACGGCGATTCTCATCATCCGAGCTTTCTCTCCTTTGAGATGAGCAACAAGCGAGCCCGAACTTCTGCAGGTTGGGCTGCCCGCCAAGAAAGGAAGAAGCAGAATCTTGCTGTCAAAAAGATCATGAAGCGAAAAAGATCATGAAGCGCAATAGATGATGGTGCGGCAGATCCAAAGTGGGACAGATTTCCACACAGCAACGGGCTTGCATGGGACAAAGGCGGCCTGTGCAGAGTGAAAGTGGCGAAAGATGGGAAAAGGGTGGCTTGTGTGAAATGAAAGGACGAGGAAAACAGCAGCAATTGCATTGCCGAAAAAAACGGAAGGAAGGGAATGAGAGGGAGTGAGAGGAGTGAAGGAATGATGACTCTTGGGGCAAAAAAAACATTAGGTTGCAACTGTGGTTCTAATCACTAGTGATTGGAACATCAAGACGATGTGATTAGCTGGTAAGTTTTAAACACGTCAAGGCCTACCACGGAAAGCAGTTTGCTCAACACAATGATGTTATGGGTGGTCTGCAAACAGTTGTGGCCAGCTGTTTTACATAGATGTACGAAGTTATGTATTTATCTATTAATCTATCTATCAATCTTGTAAATATTTGCATTATATAGTAGATCACAGAGATGCCTCTTGGCATATATGTATATGTATAGGTATATGTGTATGTATGTATGTATGTATGTATGTATGTGTGTGTGTATGTATGTATGTATGTATGTATATATATATATGGATCCTATATATATATATATGGATCCTAAAATTTGAGAACAACTTCTATGGTTTTCATTTTTTTTTGCAAATGACATATCTAAACGCATGGGTTTTGCTGGACAAAACACTTTTTCAAGGGCTACATGACATGTCGTGAGTACGTTCTGGTCGTTAGGGGTCCTTTCCTAAAGGTGATGTTTATTATAAGTAACCAATTGTTGGATACCCAATGTTGGCTCATCTCAGCCCAGAAATTTCATACTTTATCCGTCCCGATATGTCTGGCTTCAATATCAGTCACAAAAGTTATCAAAAATGACAAATCTAGATCTCCATGAAACGCCCTTGGTCCCTTGGTTAGTTTTCCATTTTTCCTATGGGGATTGTTTGGCAACTTCCCCCAAGAGACGACCCACCAAGAGATGAAGACAGATTCGTTCGCCGAAATGGTGGGGTCTGTTTGAATCCCCACGATCTGTCAATCTCCACTAAAGTCACTAAACACAATGCTTCTTGGCTACTGTAAATCCCATTGATTTCTATGAAGAATTCCCATTTTCCGCAATCCCATCTCGCAAATACAAATCTATATCTATAATCTATATATATATATATTATATACGTACAACCACCTCCAAAGAAATTGACAACCCTGGTTGATTTTTTGGATTGCTCTTCCGCCGAATGTCCAAATCTCCTTGGATTCCGCCAGGGCGGACGTCTTAGGTCCTTGGGTCTCCTTCTCTTTGAGAACCGACTGCTGATCAAGAAGGATTTAGGGCCGATCCTTGCGACCGCGGCGTGTTCTACCACCGTCACCATAGGCGGAAACAGGGCCGCGCGTATTTTTGGGGCGAAGAAGCCAATGTGGGAAACAGATGAAAACTTAACTGATCCATCAAAATGGGTCGGTGGCCCTAACAATTGGCTGTTTTCAGCTATTCTTGTAGGTATTTTGGGGCTTAAGGCATTTCTTCGGAGCCACATTGATGATCACGCTGCTTGATATTCCAGTGGTGTGTGTTTGTGTGTGTTTTAGGGGGTATATCTAATGCATTACTGCGTTAAAATGGTTGGATGAAGCAATGTGATCAAGTGCCGATCCTTCTATTGAGAGCCTCTCAGATCCTGATGGTCATTTGGGCTTTTGGATCGTGTGCCATCAGCCATCTCAATGACTAAAATGAACAAACACACAAAAAAAACCTGAAAACGACATGTAAAGGTGATGACAGTATATGACAGTAAAGTAAAATAACAGTATATTACGTCAGCATTTTTGATCTGTATGCTGGTGCCTTAAATCATATTTTTTTCACAATTTTCAGTGGCTTCAATCAGCCTTGTTTCACCATGTTTGGTGCATGTTTACCATTTGTTTGACCATTTTTCGTAGGGGATGATCAAACATGATAGATATATCTGATATGAAAAAATGATGGACAAACATGAAACCATTGAATATATCTATCATGATGATTGATGATTAACACTGGTTAACTATGATCAATGGCCACTTCAAGTACCTAAATTGGAGGTACCTACCATGTGTAAGGCCTATGTTTTTGGGCTAAATTTCAGGGGATATACACCCAATTACCACAGCCAAAAATATGGTACAGTACCTCCATTTTAGGATCAATATAATTAATTCAATTATTAATTGATTAACACTGATTAACACTGATTAACACTGATTAACACTGATTAACACTGATTAACATTTACCATGGTGATTAATAATGATTCACTACGGAATAATTTCATAAAATGGAGGTTTCCATAAATGGTGTACTCCAAATATTGATGGTTGATGTCATGGGAAACCTATGATAAAATGGATGAGAACTGGGGGTATCCCCATTTGGGTATCCCCAAATGGTGATGAGGCTCCGCACCGTTGCTGTCGCATCTCTTCGGCCTGCCGCGGAGCTTCGCGCTCTGCACCACGGCGCGCTGCGCGCTGTCACCGTGGCCTGGTGTGTTCGCCAAACACCATGAGAAAACGCCATGAAAAGCCGTGCAAAAACCATGAAAAATGGTGATTTAATGGTGGTTAATGGTCAGGAATGGTGATTGATGGTTATCTATGGAGAATAGCCATTGAAACCTGGTGATTTATGGGCTTCAAACACCATGAAGGATAATGAGGGTTGAAATTGGGGTGTCCCAGATCTGAATGATCATCATGTGTCCAGTTCAAATGGCTAATTGGTGAGTAAAACTGTATGACCCATTTTCAGACACACACACACGCATGAAAAGCCGTCGATAAATGGTGTTGCAACCAAGAAACATTGCATTTTTTTCATGGTTGCATGGATGATATGATACTACACACCAGTATACCGTCTGGTAATTTAACGTAGCTATTGAAAATGGCCATTTATAGTAGATTTACCCGTTAAAAATGGTGATTTTCCATAGCTATGTTAATTTACCAGAGGGTAATGGCGGTGCTCCACTTCGAAATACCGAAGTTGGTAAACATAGCCCAACTGGGTTTTCTTGATGCAATTTACGGGAAGGCCTTGAAGGCATCAAGGTGGAAATCAGTGGAATGTTTGGGAATATCGGAGACATCTTTAGGGAATACCCGTTGGTAATTTAACATAGTAGCTATGATAAATCACCACGTATAATAGGTAAATCATCTATAAATGGACCATGTTCAATAATGTTCAATAGCTATGTTAAATTACCAGAGGGTAAGATTGAATAGAAACTAGAGACTAAAGATTTGATAGGGAGGGCATAATTCATAGTTATTGGACAAAGTACTTTGGGAATCCTGCATGGGGATGCGCCCTAAAAAGTGCCCTGAAAAGTGCCCTGAAAAGTGGATGACACACATATTGAAAATCAAATAATATCAACTAATATGGATAATTAATAATATGGGTAATAATATGGATAATAAATGATAATAATATGGATAGTAATATTTATATCAAGTAGATACGATTTGTGGATAATGAATGGCAAGTTATATCAAATTATGGGATGATTAGTTAATGATGATTAGTTACTAGGAGTGATACGGAGGCGACCAACTTACCCCATTATAAACCATTATAATATGGTTTGCTGAATTCCTGCTTCCAATGAAACATGCTTGAGCCTATTCGTAGTAGTTGGTTGACTAGTGATTCATAGATATTGATGGAGATATGTGGAGATATATCTCTGGAATACCAACAGATAGTGACAGAGGCGGGGGTAAATGTACCTATTGCTGTCCTTTTGATACATATAAATATTTATACAGAATTATTTGGAATTATTCAGAATTATTTAGATATCTATCTACTGTATCTATCTATCGATCTATCCATCCATCTATCTATCTATCTATCGATCTACCTATCTATCTATCTATTTATTCTATCTATCTATTTATTCTATCTATCTATTTATTCTATCTATCTATTTATGCTATCTATCGATTCATTCTGTCTATCTATTCATTCTATCTATCTATTCATTCTATCTAGTTATTCATTCTATCTATCTATTTATTCTATCTATCTATCTATTCTATCTATCTATTCATTCTATCTATCTATTCATTCTATGTATCTATCTATTCTATTCGATTCTATTCGATTCTATTCTATTCTAATCTATTCTATTATTCTATTAGTCTATTAGTCTATTATTCTGTTATTCTTTTAAAATTCTGTTTTTTTTTTTAAAATTCTATTATTCTATTATTCTATCTATCTAATCTAATCTAATATTTTCTTTTCTTTTCTTATCTTATCTTATATTATCTTATCTTTTCTTATCTTATCTTATCTATCTATCTATCTATCTAATCTATCTATCTATCTTTCTATCTTTTCTATCTTTATCTATCTATCTATCTATCTATCTATCTATCTATCTATCTATCTATCTAATCTATCTATCTATCTATCGATCTATCTATCGATCTATCTATCTATCTATCTATCTATGCTTTGCTTTGCTTTGCTTTGCTTTGCTATGCTATGCCATCTATGCTATGCTATGCCATCTATGCCATCTATGCCATCTATTCCATCTATTCCATCTATTCCATCTCTTCCATCTCTTCCATCTATTCCATCTCTTCCATCTCTTCCATCAATTCCATCTCTTCCATCTCTTCCATCTCTTCCATCTCTTCCATCTCTTCCATCTCTTCCATCTCTTCCATCTCTTCCATCTCTTCCATCTCTTCCATCTCTTCCAATCTCTTCCAATCTCTTCCAATCTCTTCTATTCTATTCTATTCTGTTCTGTTCTGTTCTATTCTATTCTATTCTATTCTATTCTATTCTAATTCTATTCTAATTCTATTCTATTCTATTCTATTCTATTCTATTCTATCTATCTATACCCAATAGAGATATATATATATTTAAATCCCACATAAATATAAATCTCACATCAATCCCATATATTGAGAGAGGGTTTCCCCCTTTACAACAAATCGGATACAAATAGGTAGAGGCGGATAAATGGCTGGATCCCCGACCCCCCAAACATAATACCTAGGCGAATGGATGGCAGATGAATGCAACCAAAGCAACTCATGAATCGAGAGTCTCACCTCCTTCAGAATTATGAATTGTTTGGGACATTGGACAAGTCTTATGCAATCTTTTGGTTTCAGAATGGTTGGTTGAATTGTGTTTCACATAAAGATAACTGTCAAAAGATTACGAGAAATCCTCGCCAGCCTTTCTGAAATCACCAGTTTTTTTTCTGCGTCTTTGCTCTAGAGAGTCTCCGGCTCCTTGAGGACACCATTTAGGGATTCAACTTCACAACTTCATACCATTGTCACATTCCGTACAATGTCAGGTGTATCGTGATTTGACGGCCGCATGACATGATTCAACAAACACAACTTGGTGGCCGAATCACTTGTGACGTTGGTTGTTTATCACATAATTCATCCTGTTTCATCGTACATACGTAACAGCACACATGTTTCATTAGCCTATCGCATATTCTGCCATTTTCTATCATTTTGTTTTACCATCCATGTACATACGTAACAGAACTGCTCTGGAGAACCATCTATTTTCATACATACATATCACATATCATATCATATCATATATGTATATATATACATTATAGATAAATGCATGTCACCATCATGTTTATCTCTACGGTAGCGACATTTATGTAAATATGTGGAGGACGGGCCAGACCACAAGGCCCCAAAGGTAGTATGAAACACCAGTTCCATCCGTATTTTTAAATGTATGTTTAAATAGATTGGATTCCGTATGTTTAAATGGCCGGGCGGGCCAAGGAAAACTTTCCCGGAGGTAGTCTACAATACCAGTTCGTATATTAAAAAATCCGTATATTTAGATGTAGTTACCGTAGCTTAGAAATGATAGTGAACATTGGAGATTTGGTGAAATCATGTCTGTGGAGCTATCACTGTCTGTAGCTTTGAACATTGGAGACGTGTTTTTTTTGTCGTCTGGTTGGTGGTTTGGAACATGAAATTCATTTTTATATTCAGTTGGGAATTTCATCATCCCAACTGACGAACTCCATCATTTTTCAGAGGGGTAGGGCTCAACCACCAACCAGTTGTGTTTTTAATCACCGCGCCGCCGAGGATTGCCATGGGCATGGCCAGCATCTTAGGCTCGCCGCCACCCATCGCCGTGGCCATGACGACCTTCTCAGGTGGGAATCCCATGAAATCCCACATGGGGATGGATCAAGACCTATGGGAAAACCATATTTTTGCAGGGGATAAATGGGGATAACATATCCATTTACCAGGATTTATCAGGATTTACCATCTAGTGCAGTGTAAAACCCAGGGTAC